GAAGTCAAAGAGTCATTTATTGACTTTATACAGATAAAGGAAAAGGACAGGTGAAAATGCAGCTGATGCTGGATTGACTGCTGAACAGGAAATTTATCACAACATGAAGGATGTTATTAATCGCTTGATTACAGAAATAACAGGAAGATTTTCTCGCTTACTAGATTTAGATTCACAGTTTGAATTTCTACTAGATGTGCAAAATATTGTTTCTGGAGATTTTGAAGATGGAAAATTGCAAGAAAAATGTTCTGACTTAGCAAAGAGCTATCCAGGTGATAATGATGGAGCAGAATTGTACAGAGAAATTAAACACTGTTTACTTGAGAACTTCAATGACTCAAGAATGACTTGGCAATATTAAGTATTGAAAAAAGACGTACCTAATGCCTTAAATTTTGATAGTTTAATTGATGCATTTGCAGCAGCAAAAGCACGACAGGTTCATATAATGTAACCATGAATTCCAGAATCCTATCGTGTACAAGATCTAGTGAAGTATATGTACAGTTTTGTAAATTAATGAAATTTGTTATTTGTAAACTTAAGTAGTAATTTATCAATCTGTTTTATAATCCATGTTCAACAGAAGTGACTGGCTTCTCATATAAAACATAAGTTTCAAAACAAATTTATTCTGTATGCTTAAAAGGTCACTCTAGTTATGTAACTTTGAACAATACTGGATGACATAAATATCAAAATGGTTTACAAATTATGTAAGTACACCTAGTAGGCTATACTTTGTTAGTTCTAGGTTTACAGTTGTGATATCGTGAGATGTTATATTTTGACTTTATTTTAGGCCTGTGTAAGGTGGTAATTAATTCTTTATGTTATTGTCATTAAGTGGGTAATGAGTCACAAAACAGATAATCAAAACATTTCAGAGGTGAGGCGCCAAAAGTGTCTTTGCCCCCGGGTGCTGAGAACCCTTGCTACGCCACTGCTCTCATCTACATAAGCAGTAACCTTTTCAAAAAATGTCAGAAGATTAGTAAGGTAAGATTTTCCCCTAATGAAAACATGTTGAATATCCAACAAAATTTCAAATTTTGTTAAATGACTTTTAAAACCATCCTTTATCAGACTTTCAAAAACTTTTCCCACCACTGTTGTAAGACTAATAGACCTATTATTACTGAGACAATTTTTATCACCTCCCTTGAAAACAGGAGTAACATTAGCCAACTTCTAATCTTCTGGCACCTGCTCGCTATTCAAGAACTTGCAAAAATAATAGTAAGTGGCTGACATATCTAATCTTTAACCTCCTTCAGAAAACCATAGGTTAAATATTATCTGGCCCAGCAGCTTTACCATTTTTTAACCTTTCCTTTTTTTTATCTTATCAAGCTCAAAATTAATGTGATCATCTTGTTCCTCAGAATGAGGAATATTGCTTAAATCTTCATTAGTAAGCATTGAACAAAAAGTAGAATTTAATAACACAGCCATCCCATAATCATCAGATATTAGCTTTCATGTATCATCTTTTAAGAGCCCTACTCCCATCCTAATATTTTGCTTACCCTTAAGGTATTTAAAGAAATGGTTAATGTTAATTTTTACATTTTCAGCCAACCTTTTTTTCATATAGTTTTTGATTTTCTAACTTCCCATTTGTCCAACTCTCTTGATCTACTGTAATCTTTCAAATCTCCTATCATTGCATTCAATTTAAACTTTTTATATTTATAATGCTTTTCTTTAATTTTATCCTTTATTCTCTTTGTAAGCCAACCTGGCTTTTCACTTGCAGCCACCATTTTTTTTCACTTTCATAATGACTATGCCTCTCTTCAATATTCCACAACTATTTTTACAATTTTCCCACATTTGATCAGTATCTCCAATTAGATCAGTTGCCCAACTGATAGCAGACAGTTCTTGTTTCTCCCCTTTAATACTTATGTTTTGAAGTTTGAAACCAAAATCTTTTTAATTCTTATCACCATAAGCAGAAAAAACATCAAATCTAACTTAGCAATGACCAGTTGCACCCAGATGTTCCCCAGTCTCCACTCCGTCAACCATTTTCTTCACTCAAGTTAACAATAAATCTAGAATAGTATTGTTTCTTGTAGCCAAATAAAGAGAACTCTCCTGAACAGTTTCTAAAAACCTGTTTCCATAATGATTTGCCTCAAACATTTTCCAAACTATATGCCTGAAATGAAAATCTCCCATAATTATATCTTTTTCTTACTGCAGCTTCTCATTAATTTCATCAGTTTGATCTGGTGGTCTGAAACAAATTCCAACTAAAAGCCTTCTCCCCTTATAACCACTAACAGAAGAAACCCAACCAGATTCAACCTCTTTGCTATTAATATTGATATCCTCAACTTGAAAAGGATGTAACCCACATTTTACATATAAAACTACTCTTTCCCCCTGTTGCTAGTACTTTATACCTATTAAACAACCTATAACTTTCTGTCATCAAAATTATCTACATTTAACCAGGTTTCAATTATGTCCATTACATCAAATTCCTCTGCTCTAACCAGTACTCTAAAGTCTTCTCTATTTCATTTCTTATACTTTTAGCATTACAGTAATAACACTTTAGCCTACCATTAAAACTACTTTTGTATTTTTTTCTATGCTATACCAATCTTTACATCTTTTTTTTTTTTCATTATTCTGATCCTCACCACTATCTAGTCCTAGTTCAAAGCTCCCCTTACAGTTGAGATAATAACCCTTGCAAACAAGCTCACCCTTATCCTATTTGGATGTAAACCATCCATTCGAAAAAGCTCCCTTTTCCTGTTGAAATTATCCCACAAATCAAAACAGCCATCTTGCTCATCCTCATATATTAACTTAAGCCTAGCATTCAGCCCTAGTGACCTACTTATAATTTCATCTCCACAATTAAGTTGTAGCAGTATTCGTGACAGAATTAAGTTATTGGCCCTTTTATTTGAATCTCTTTTTTTCAGTGCCTTGTATCTAACAATTGGCTCCTCAGATCTACACTTCCTTACATCATTAGTCCCAATGTGCACTACAAACTGCATCACTGCTAGCACACTTTACTATATCTACTATATCACTTGCTCTCTTGGTTATATCCTCCACTGCTGCTACTAGATAGTATAATCTACTTCTTTTCTTCTTATTTACCACATAAACTATCCTATCCATGTGCCATACTAAAGAATCACATTATAATAATAACCACCTTATGTTTTTTTATTTCCATTCCCATGCAAAAGCTTAAGTTTCTCTTTAAATCCGACTACAATTTCCCACAGTTTACTTTTTATTCATAGCCTCTACCCTACTTAGGAGAATCTCCAATTTTCCCTCTAACTTACAAACTGTACATCTCAACTTCTAGCACCCTTAAATATGTGTGTCAATCCCGAATTCCCAAATGAAACCAACTTCTTGCACCCACCTCACATTACAAATTGTAAGTGCTGAACACTCACACTACCATTGTAGCCAGGGAATAAATAATCAACACTAAATACAAGTGGTCTGTTGACAACACCTTTAAGCTCCACATTAAAGTTAAATGTGTTACTCTATTTTATCACTAAAGTAATTAAGTTTATCTTTAAAATAAGAAGTGACAAATAATTATTTTTTGGATTATATTTATGTAATAATACAATTTATTTAACATGTTTTATAACTTACCAATAACTGAAATTATAGCTAAAGCCGTGTTTAAAAAATTCTTCTTTCTTAACTAGCACTAGTGAAAACTGTTTCAATCTAATATTAATAGTTTTCTTATCATATATGTTAACTAAAAACTAAAATAAATGCTCAATAATCAAAGTATTAATTTTAAACGTAGCTATACCTGTAGTAATAAAGCCTAAAAGTGTCCAATCCCAACTAAACTAACTAAAATACAAGACCTCAAAAATACCGAAATAATACTTATTGTCTCCAGTGTGATCATCTGATATCCACAGCCATATTACTGTGTTTGTGAGTTGAGTAATTCAGCATTTAAGATGTATTATTTTTTGGTATATTGTGTGTTTTATACAACTGATGTTAGAATAAATCACAGTAAAGAATTCTGGCCTTTGTTAATTTTGTCAACACCAAGAGCATTATTTTTTACTTGCCTTTGGCCCATACTGATTCACTCTTGGAAGGAATCTGTCTTCTTTAAATACTTGTTTAACAAAACTCGTGCATTGGGACATTTTTAAGAGGGTAAAGTATGCTCGTGCATTTCTTGGATGTTACATTTAAGTAAAATTTGTAATAAGTGTTTCATAGGATATCCAATGAAAGTAAGGACTGTTTCCTTTGAATAATAATAATTCAGGATTTAACAGATTCTAGTGCTTGATAAAATACAATAAAATAAGATAGAATGGTTCCTAACCAATTTGGGGTTTTATGTAATTCATAACTTGAAACTTTGAGTTGTAAAAGGTACTTTTTGTCATGAACTTATACATATTGATATTTTAATCTAGGACCTGGTGGTTAGGGTGCTCAAATTGCAACCTGATGGTTGTGGGATCAAATCCCAATCACTGAACATGTTTGCCCTTTCAGCCATGGGAGCATGATAATGTGACGGTCAGTCCACTATTCATTGGTAAAAAAGTATAGTCCAAGAGTTGGTGGTGGATGGTGTTGACTAGCTGCCTTCCATCTAGTCTGTCACTGTTAAATTAGAGATGGCTAGCACAAATAGTCCTCATGTAGTTTTGCACAAAACAAAACAAACCAATTTAAATCCAGCTTTTTTCTTTTACATTCTGAGATTTAAAAATAAAATCTAAATTAGAAATAATAAAAAAAACTGTAACATGGGCAGTTTTATCATGATGCAGTGTATTATTTTTACCTCAATTAACAATGGCTGCAGTTAAGTGTTATCAATGATAGTATACCATTATGTGTTCCAAAACTAGTTCGGGAAAGTTTGTTTCAGAAGTGAGTGACTCTCTTCTATGTTGACATTGTGGTTAACAGTTGCTCTTAAATTATTTTTTCTTTAATGTTTATAGCTGACACCAGATGGCAGCAGTCACATCAGATACTCCCGACTCTGCTAAGGTAGAAAGTGAACAAATAAAACAGGTAAACTTTGATGTAGTTGATTTAATTCTCCAACAGTTACATTGTTACATAATGTTCTAACACCCATAATTGATTACCACTGTACAAAAACCAGAGAGCAAGTAGGTGACAAAAGACCATTCATCCTTTAGGTGTTACTCTTGGTAGTTAACAACACACATCTATTCACTTCAATTTCACATTTGACATTAATACTTTATTTCAGATGTATTGGACTATGTCATGTGGTTCAATACATCCTACAATGTGTAATAATACTACATACATTTATATGTCTGAACTTTGGGCCAAGCATAACCCAGTAGTTAGAATGCTAAGCTGTGTATCTGAAGTTCCGTGGTTCTTGCCCTGTTACCTCCCAACAAATTTACACTTTGGAGTTGTGTGTGAATTATAAGAGTGAAGGCCAGATTCCACTATTCAGTTGACAAGAGTGGATGATGTTGACTAGCTGCTCTAGTATTTTCAATTCAAAATTAGAGATGTTAACAGAGTTAGCCCCATAGTTACAAAGTAGCTTTGATGAACTTCTGTAAACAAACAGTTACTTTCATTACCTTAGCAGGTGTACTTATCTGCTTGGTAATTTTACTTTTTTGACTACCCAATAACAAATTATTTTTATAATATCAAAGTTCAGTATAATAACACCCAATCATGTACTTTTTCTTTTATTCATCAAGTTGCATGCAAATAAGACGATATTCATCTTGTAACATTTCTTTCATTTCTAAGACAGTAATTACATCATTTTTCTGTATTTGTTTGACCTATTTCCAACTCAGAGTTGTGGCATATTTTTACTTAAGTTGACATTTTAAATAGATATATTTGACCAAGTTTACCATGTAACTCTGAATGCCATTGTTTGGTGAATTTTTGCTTAAATTTGTTGAGAAGTGCTCTTTGTTATTCTTTCCATATATATATATATAATCAAATCCATACATAGAAAGGTTTGTCATCCAACTTCCACCCTTGTCTAAAAATTCGATCATATTGTAACACGGTTGAGGGAATCTACTATTTTTCAGTTTTATATATAAGTTTATAAGTTTTAATATATCTTATCTTATAATTGAAAGCTAAAGGTAATCTTTCATATTCAAATAATGCAGTAACATTAGTAGCACTCTTTGAAATACCCCCAGTAGCTCAGTGACAAGTCTGAGGATTTGTAACACTAAAAATGTGGTTTTGATACCCACAGAACAGACAAATTCTGAAATTTATAATTCTAGGAAATACTTACAAAATATATTTTGTACACTTTCATATTAGTATATATTCTGTACGTTCCTAGGTT